CTGATTCCAGGTTAGGCCAAAGGCAGGAGCTGGATCTCAACTTGGTTCTCCCGTATGCATGGCATGGACCCAAGCAGGGATAGATGGCTCATGCACTCAAGTTCTTGCCACTCATGTGGGAGACCCTTACAGAGTTTCTGACTCCTCGATTGAGCCTAGCCTGCCTTGGCTGTTGCATGCTTTGGCGAAACCCAGAAGTCAACAGGGAGATGGAAGATAATGCAGGTATCTGTCTCCCTTCCCCTGGCTCTATCTCTCTGTCTTTCAAATAAATTTTTCAAAGACACATTGGTGTTGCTGGTCCTTTTAGTTCACTGGTTATCTATGCTCAGTAGGCTGCTGTGGTCAGTCTCCAGGCCAGACAGAGAATCCTCCGCCTTTGTTCTAGAAGCAGCTTCGGCATTTCTATGCCCTTTGTTCTGCCTGCACATTTCAGAATGGACTGTCCTGAGTGGTTGTCAGCGGGCACCCTGGCCTCGGAGTCCATTGTGACAGAAAGGCATCGGCTTGCGCCACTCAGCGCGCGATGCAGCCTTTCCCAGGGAATGCCCTCCACCGAGTTCACAAAGTACTCTCCTACTCCACGTCGCCGAGAGGCTGCGTAATGAAGAAAAATAAGCCCCTCATACATCATGTCTGCTACAGTGAGATGTTCACTTCTGCCTTGCTCTTCCGAATAGTTTCAGTATAGCGACATGCTAAACCAATCTGATGCTGCTGGGAAAATGAATCCAGACATGACATATTCTTTATATACTGCAGAAGCATAGTCCAATGTCTTGTTAGGTATACCTCGGTCTGTATTCACGATATGGGTGTGCAATTCTCTGTTCTTGTAATCACACAAGCCATGCTGCTGAACTTTGGCCAGCTTCAGAAACCCAGCTGGCGGGCAGGTGTTTGGCTGAGCGGTTAACCCACATGTCCCACAGCATGGGGCCAGGTTTCCTGCCCAGCTCCCACTCCTGATCCCAGCTGCCTTTCAATACAGGCTCTAGGTAGGAGGCAGTGGTGAAGGCTCATGTAATTTAGTGCCCATCCCTTAGGTGGGAGAACCTAGACCTGGCTCCCAACCTTGACCCTGTTTCCGCTCCAGCCACACCTAGCATCTGGAGAGTGGATCAACAGATAGGAGCTTACTCCCTCTCAAATACATACACGTATATAATTCATTATATATTGGACCAACACAGTTGGGAAATGTTATTTCCTGTTCTATCTTCACAAAGCTGTTGCTGCTTCTTTCCAGCTTATCAGTGATGACTCAGAATGATTTGGTTCATTTAATAATGTAGGGATTTTCAGGTTGTACATCTCAACCTATGTAATGTTTTTCAAAAACTGAGTCAAGTGACACGTCCACCCCAGGTGGTTGATTTCTGGGCACACATAGTGTCCCTCACATTTCTAATATCCACAGGAATGACATGACCTCTTTCATTCCTGATAGCACTAAATTGTGCTTCTCCTTCTTAGTTTACCAAATACGTAACTTACTGCATTAACTTTATAAATAACCAACTTTGTTGATTATGTTTCTAGTGCAGTGACTCCTGCTCTTGCGAATTTGTCCTTATTTCTTTGTGTTTAATTTGCCTGTGTTTAATTTGCCTGTGTTTTCTAGCTTACCACGAACCTTCAACACGGACTTTAAATCGTCTCTTTTCTCCATAATGACCTTTTTAAACTGTATTTTTAGAAGTGCTAGTCCCACATTTCAAAAGCTTTAATGCATCATTATGTCTTCAAGTTGAGAACTATTTCCTCATTCCCTTTCTGATTTCTCCTTAAACCTGTCAGTCATTAAACCGTGTGGTTATGTTCAGACATGGAGAGTTTTCTGGCTATCTTATTATTAATTAGTTCTACATAGCACAGGATTTCATTGTTCTAAATGCTGGAGAACATATGCTGTGGATCTGGAAGGAATGTGCTATAGTGGCAGTGTTGTGTTGGCTGGCTAGACTCTGGCAAGGCACCTGCCAGTGGCTCACCGTTCTCTCTCCATGCTTACTTCTCATCCAGGTGTTCTATCATCCACAAAGAGCAGCATAAAATGCTCAAAAATGAGGCATGTTTGTTTTTCAACTGTTAGTTCAGCTGGTTTTTTAAGCTGAGATAAAATACAAATACAAAATACCCTGGTTTGAAGGGTATGGCCCTACAGCACTAACTGTATTGAGATGCATACGCACTCTGCCAACTTGTGCTATATTCACCTGGGAGCTCTCTTGCTAGGCAAACCATAAATATTTGGCACGCTTCTATCTGATACACTGACTGTCTTTATGAATCATCCCTACATATCTAATGATGCTGCTGGTCTTCATGTCTACTTTGTGTGATTATTATTAATCCAGCCACATTGCCTTTCACAGCCCACTTTCTGCATAGTAAGTTTTTACCCATTCTTCCACTTTCAACTGCTCTCCAGCACTACAATATCACGTTTATACAGTGCGGATCTGCATCACGTTTTTGGTTTGCAATAATTATTTAACTGTTACTATCACAGGGCTACCTGCCTATTAGTTTTCTGACTGTTCCTTTGCTTATTTCCTGGATTATTGCTTCTTTATTCAGCTTACCCAAATATTCTAGATATCTCATTTTGATTCTCCAAATAGCTTCCTAGCTATATTTTTTTGTAAGACAGTCCAACAATATTTCTAGGCTAAAAGAAATATGTATCTTTTACTTTATAGCATACCTAAACGTAATATTCCACAAATGCACAAATTAGTTTATCCTCCCCAGCTTTTTTGTGCTACTATATTCTAAAATTGAGAGGCTGTGTGAGAGAGATACCACTTGCCTCTCATCACCATCCATGTATGCTCCCTCTTCCCCCATCAATATACCCTCCAGAGGGGAGCCTTGTTGGGAACACTGAGCCTGAATCAGGCAGTCACCATCATTCGGAGTCCAGATCAGCCTCTGGGTCCCATTCAGTGCTATGCAGCCCACCTGCTCGCATAATGAATGGCAGATCTACAACCACAGTACCATAAACGGAGGATTCACCCACCATCCAGGGGGGTTCACCCCCCATACAGAGGGGCTCACCATCCAAAGCCCCTCAGTGTTATGGACATTAACAGCTTTGCTTGTTTTTGTTTTTTTTTTTTTTTACATTTTGTTAATAATTTTTAATGGTTATTTTCAAGGGAGTTTAGTTTAGGTCAATTATTCTGTCATTACCAAAGCATCTTTGCTTGAAGCCAAAAAAAATCAGGTAAGATGAGGTCAGTTTTTACCATTAGTATAGATGTGGGATTTAGAGACTGAACTAAAGCTTTCTAAAAATAGCAACAAATAATACATACCAGTATTTAAGGGTTTTTAGAGCTGGCCACAGCCATCAGTCATTTGCTCCTTACAATACTACGGCAGGATGGCTGGAAGATAAACCAGGTGAGGCCGACTAATGCCCATGTTGTCAAAGCCTGGGGCACACCCTTCCCCTGGCACAGTGCCATCCTTGTGATGCACAGTGCTGGGTCTTGATTCTGTCTGCAACGTAACTACATCTATCTCCAGCATTAGTTCATGATGTGTCGGTTAGCCTTCAGTTAATTTACATATTAACTAAACCCATTTTCCTAAAAACCACTACAGCAGAGTTCAATTTCTGAGATAATGCCTCTCATTCCATATCTCATATACAGTTAAGCAGCGATCTATTAGCATTATATTATAGAAACCTTTATCCCAGCATAAATCTGTTTAGAAATAACTCCCCTAGGGCCTGGCGTGGTAGTGGCTAAAGTCCTCACCTTGCACACGCCAGGATCCCATGTGGGCACTGATTTGTATCCTGGTGACCCCACTTCCTGTCCAGCTCCCTGCCTGTCGCCTGGGAAAGCAGTTGAGGACGGCCCAAAGCCTTGGGACCCTGCACCCATGTGGGAAACCCTGAAAGAAGCTCCTGGCTCCTCACTTTGTTTCAGCGCAGCTCCAGCTGTTGTGGTCATTTGGGGAGTGAATCAGCAGACAAAAGTTCTTTCTCTTTGTCTCTTCTCCTCACTGCTTATCTGATTTTCCAATAAAAATTTTATAATCTTTTTAAAAAAGAGAAGAAAGAACTCCCCTCTTTAAATGTCACTCCAGGGAGCATCTTACCGACACAGGCTTCACATTCCTAGATGAGTATGGGCGTGGCAGACATCAACTTTTCCATGTAAAAGTCAGGGATTTTCTTCTATAAAACTAGTTTCTATGACTCTGGATATTTGTTTTTTTAAGTGTTCGATATTCTCTCAATGCTCTGTCACTGACACAAATACAGAAGTTGGTGCTCAAAACATATTTGCTGTAATAAACCACGGCTAGAGAGTGAGGGTGGGGGCACCGGGGCGGCTTTGCCAAAGCCCTTGGTGCAGATGAGAGCAGGCACCAGCACAGATGCCAGTCAAGCAAGGAGGCCTTGCTCTTTGTCCTTGGCCTGCAGCCTACAACGAGGGTGCCCTCGGCAACGTCCACTTTCAATTCATTTTAAAGCCATTTTAGTACTAGTTTTCTCATTTCTTTTGATTCAAAACAAGCAAGACAAGGATCACGGGATAATCTGTGTATATTAAACACACACATTCAACACCTTTTAGTAAATTTGTATTCTCAAAGAAAGCTCCTTTCAGAGCGCCCGAATCAAAGGGTGTCAATCCACAGCTGTCATTCCTACGCAGTTTGCAGCCACTGCTACAATTCAAGGACTCTGTATTTACTGAATTCATCTTTAAACCGAACTGCAAAAGATTACACAGTGTGAGAAATGTCATCTAAATGCTAAAATGTCTTATAAATATCAATTCTTAAGGGTAGTTTCCTTGTGTATCATTAAAATAAGCACCGGCTTTTGTTCACTTTCAATAATATCGAATGCTGAATGTCACCCACTTATAAATCACCCATGATTCAAAATACCCCAGGTACAGCTTGCTGTGGGATTGCCCTAAATTCCAATGTACTTGGGAAACGAAGCCTAGGGACTATTCACAAACCTCCATCCGTCCTTCTGGAGGTAACTGAAGGCTCCATCGACGACGCTTGCGAAGAACTGGCCCCCAGTGATGAAGAGCGTGTTGATGGTGACCAAGCGGCCCCGCAGGTGTGGCGGCGAGACCTCAGCAATGTACACGGGAACGGTCATTGACGCAATACCTGCAAACAAGCAGAGAAGCAACGGTGAGGCATCTACTCAAGGCCACGGCCATTCTCATTCGCAGCAATGCGAGGTGCTCGAGAGGGCAGCTACGATGCTGCAAGGACTCCTGAGCCCCGTGCCAGCGTGCCCACTGCTGCTCCCAACCAGCTGCCTGCTCAGTGCAGACCAGGGAGACAGCAGTGGAGGCCTGCCATCCATGTGGGGGACAAACCAAGTTCCCAGTGCCTGGCTTCAGCCTGCGCCTGCCACAGGCATTTGGGATAAAGCAGTAGATAGGAGGTTGGTCTGTGTCTCTCTGCCTTTCAAAGGAAAACAAATGCTAAAGGGCGGGGGGGGGGGAGCGGAAAACACCCTTTCTACATTAAGACACCAGCATAGATATACAGGCCTGATTTTGTATCCTGAACAAAGATCACTCCTACTTAAAGATTTGTGTGTAACTCCTCTGGGCTACTGCAGACGAGTTGAGGAGCACAGGACACAGCGGGTTGTGGCTGTCACTTTCCGTATCGTCACGCGGAAGCCTAACACACAGATGCCTGATGACACACGATCTTGGAGTGCATACAAATGTGAATGATCAGTTTTTCTGGATGAAAAATACAAAAGTGCAGCTGGCCTGTGGTACATCAGATTAAGCGGCCACCTGCAATGTGACGTGTCGATCCAGTACCCAATGCTAGACAGAACACAATTACTGAAATATTTTGGCATATAAGAACATGTAATCAGACAATGGTGGGTAAAAATCATCCTAGAATTAACTACTGGAATTCATCAAAGCTTTACTGAAAAATTCACATGATATGTCACTAAATCACCTAGGGGCACATTTCACAAACAAGTTACAATCCATAGTTACAATCTATAGTTGGCAATCTATAGTCTCAAAGATAAATGATCTATCCATCAAACAGCTTCATGACTACGGTATATCTGGCTGTAACAGCTTTACCATTTTTGTGTGTCTAAAATCAAGGCTGTACAACCTATGATGGCACCTCCAAGCTCAACAACCTCCATCACTAATGTGACTTTTTAAAAATAAAGACACCTTCACCTCACTTTATTTACCAAACTGTAACCTGCAAAAGTGAGGCAATTGCTGTGCGTAAATGATCTGGCAGAGTGTAGGCAGTTGTTACAACAGGGTAGGAATTCTTTATCAGATGGTTTTGTCCAAATCTATTTCTTTAGCGTCTGCCTCTGAACACACTCCAGGTGCTCATCCCACGTCTTGATGCTCACTATGCTTAAAAAAAAGCTGAAGTCCTAAGGTACAGAACTGTTCCCCAACTCCATGATTCCTTAGTTACCTCCACCTTGCTAGTCATAACTTCCTCACACCTCTGTGGATTTTCCAACTTCCAGGCAAATCTGATTAGTCAGCATCTAATCCATATTCGCCAGAAATCTCAGCAGAACAAAAACTCTTTAGCAGGTTACTTGGAGAATTTAGTATTTCCTCTATGCGGATACCAGACGTTGACCCCTCAGTGAGCTCAGAACATCAGTTAACTGGGTGACAAGTGCCTCTCCCCTCAGGATCTGGGACTTCACATTTGTTTTGTTAGCCAAACTGCTCCCAACAACCTAAGAGCTACACCTTTTCTTTCATGAATATATATTTTGCTCTATTTGATTTATTCTGTATTTGCACAAGACCAATCAAAGGAGAACATATCTACTTCGGGACAATGTGTTGTAGTACTGCATCCTAATGTGCACACCAGGTAGACTATCAAGTCCTAGAACTGCAGGCAGTTTAAACTGGGGTCACACGGTGACTCCTGGCTCAGGTTCTGGCAGTTTCACGTCAGTCCACCTCCTTGGGAACACACCTGGAAAAGCAGCGGAAGATGCTTCAAGTGGCAAGCTCCTCCACCCTATGTGGAAAATCAGAAAGGAGTTCCAGATTCCTTGTGTTGGTTGGGCAAGCCCAGCCTTGATTATAGTCCCTCTTTTGGGGGTGAACCCGAGCATTAAAGCTTGCTCTATCACTCTGCTTTTCAAATAAATAAATACTCCTAAAAATTTTTTAGAGCTCCTGTTAGATAGCAATGTACAGAGGCTAAAAACATGCTTACAAGTGTGTGAGTTCCATACAGCAGACACATTAGATGTATTCTTTATAATTAAATCACTCTAAACAGCTGAAAACTTCTATATGACTGAGCCATTTGATAACACAGACCACTCCAAAATGTCCTGCATTCAATTTCCAGAGACATCTGTTGCAAATGTTGACAAGTTAATTGTATACTCTTACCTATTTTACTTTTAAAACAGGTCAATTAACTTTTAAAAAGCAAACATCTAGCCCACAGGACCAAACTGGGAAATCAGGAGGATGCTTTCAAGCACTGCACGCTTGTCACAAAGCAAATAGTAAATGCAGACACGCCTGCAGGCCATGCATCGCTTAAAAGTAGCGCCAGAGTATATGACAAATAATAGAAATAGGAAGAGGAAGAACTAGATTTGGACAAAACCATCTGATTCACAGTTGGAAAGAATCCCAGCTCTGCTACTCTGTTGCAACAACTGCCTACACTCCATTAGATACTTTACACCGGGTCATCATTTAGCCCTCAGAACACACCTGGAAGGGAAAGGCACTGACCCTGCTTTCAGAGCAGGGTGCAGCCCCAGGCCACAGGATTACTAGGTGTAAGGACCAGGCAGAGGCACTTCAGGATTCAAAGCTGAAGCCTGCAGTTCAAGATCTCGGTCGGATGTGAGGTACAGAACAAAACAAGCAAAACATCTGCTTTATTGGGAGGGGTCCAGATGCAAATAGGCCAGTAAAAGGCCATGTGTAAATCTGGAGGAAACGGGAGTCCAGGACAGAGACGGAGCTGTGAACAGGCATGGACAGCAATCATGGAGTTGGCGAAATACAGCTGCCAGTCCATATGCCCCTGTATGCCCAGCAGACTGCATGAAGCATCGTGCTGTTTCTCAACTCCTAAGATCTCCTCTACTAGATGAATTTCAATACAACTTCAATGGAAACCAGGCTATGAAGGGCTTGGACGCAACACAAGTACCTGGAGCTCAAATGTAGTTTTGGGCAGATGATGCCCCAAATTGCAACTACAGGCATGCAAACCACTCAGAAGCAGAACAGTGGAACAGAACCCAGCACAGAATCCTCAAGAATTCCACAGTCAGAAAGACCGCTGGAGGGGAGGCAGTGGGGCACTCAGGTGCATCGCAAGCACCTGCCTCCCTCATGACTGCCTGGGGATCTCTGAGGACTTCCTGTGGTGGCATCACTTTGACTGCACAGACATCATTCCCAGCCCTCTGAGGAAGGTGAAGGCTTAGCCCACTGCCCTTTCAGAAACTCACATGGCACCTTTCCCAGAGTGGGATCCCCAGTCCTCAGGATGTGCATTCAAAGACTGAGTGCCCTGATTTTTGTAAATGCTGAAAAACATTTTTACTTCTGATTCTATCTCCTGAGCTGGAACACATACTACATGCCAGGGAATGGATGGTATTCTCTCCTCCCTATTCCACTGCCTACTCTGTTGACCTCCACCCAGGGCACAGCCAGAGTAGGAAAAAGGAAGCTGCCAGTGCTGTGCCGGATTTTGATATCCCCAGAAAATCACCCAGTCTGAAGTCAATGCTAAGGCATAAAGGTGGTTTATTCTGGCTAGCCTAGGACTCCCAGCCACCTCCGCAAGCCCAGCAGGGCTGGGCAGGGGAGGGGCAGCTGCAGACTAGGCTGCTGAAGGATCAGCAGGGAGGGCAAAAGAGAAGGAGAGAGAGTAACCCCCCCAGGATGAACAGCACACGGTTCTTATACATTTCAGGACAACTCGTATAATTATACTGTCATGATTGGTCAGTTTTAACTGTTAACTTTCAAGAAGATCAAGTTGGCAGGCTTCTATTGGTAGGTTTGAAGCAAGCAACTTTCAAAAGGTACAAATTGACGAACTATAGGGTGGTGGATCTTATCAAACACCAGGTACCTCCTTCCTGGGGAGTGGTCTACCCACGTCACCTGCCAGGTGTCCTGCAGGGTGTCACATAGACTACCAGGCCTGGGGCTCACACAGCCCCCAGCCAAGCAAGCAAGGCAGAATCACAAAAGCAGAAACCATCTAGGTTCTTCATCAGCACTATGGCACATAGGTTAAGCTACCAGTTGTAATGCCGCATCCTACAATGATGTGCCAGTCTGACCTTCGGCTGCTCCAGTTCCAATCCAGCACCCTGCTTATCTGCCTAGGGAGGCAGCAGAAGACGATTCACATACTTGCCACCCACATGGGTGACCTGGATGGAATTCTGGGTTCTTCGCTTAGAGAGGACTCGAACCAGCGCCCAGCGGAATACCAGTGCTGCAAGTAGCAGCTAACCCATTATGTCCAACACTCACCACACTAAGTACAGTTTTGTCTCTAGACAGGATGGTCACGTGAAAACTCTCAACCTGAAGTCAAGGTCATTCCTGCATTCGTGTAAAACTCCACCCTGGATTTCAACCACAGAACTAAATACTCAAAAGAGCAAGAAATTCTGTTTTTCATGATGTCTGTTATAACGAAATGTAGCACACCAAGGCTGCCATATAACCTGAAGACGATGTGAGATTCTCCCAAGTACTACATGGAGATAAAAGATGACAGACAAGATTTAGCAAAGTCAGCAACGAGTTGATGATTTCCTGTCGTTAAGATGTCTATTAAAGAAAAACATTCGATAGTCCATCCTAACTCATGATCAGAAATTCACATGAAGAAAGCAGGGATACAACTTCTTGCACACCGAGGCTTCCAATCTGTGTTGCATCGATCTCTGACACTGTTTAAAAGTTCGATTCCTTGCAAAGCAACAAGACCTACAACAATGAGAACGCATTATCGCACTCGGTAGGAGGACCAGTCCAGAGCAGAGCACCCAGACACCTCACCTTGCCACGTGGCTAAGCTGACTCACTGTCCAGCAGTGGAAAACGAGCCATGGGCACAAGCTGGCT